GTTTGTTGAATCCTTCCTCCACCCTTTCCAGTCCCTACAGAACATTAGCTCATTTTGTCTGGTTACATAATCATGTCATTATTGAGGTTTGGAATTTTGTTATATATTATAATGCTAAGTACTGGTCCCCAAGACCTGGTTGCCTCCAGGAACAAGAGAATCTGCACCTGCACCCAAGTGATGCTATGTAACTTTGCCCCCAAGGTTATCCCTGAGGGGTGAATAAAGATGCCTACAGCCTATAGCGGGGCAAAGGAGTGATAGGCGAGGTTTGGGTTCCCAGGCTGGAGCTTGTGGTCAGATCAGAGAACATGAGGAGGGGAGAGAGAGAAGGTAGGGAGAGAAGATGTCACGGATTAGGTAAGTCATGAAAACACGGCCTTGAGGGCTGGCCAATTGGAGATAAGAGGTGCCCAGATGGAACATGCGTGGCAAGTTATAACAGGGAGTTATTGATGGGCAAGTCGATTCTAATAGCTTAGAGGGTAGATATCTGCCCAGCTCTGGTGCATTAAAGGCTTGTTATAAATACAATTTGTGTTTCTTTTATCTGGGAATTAAATGATAAAAGTTGGGGTAGAAACCCTTGACTGAGCTGAAATAATTATTACAACATGTCATTTATGGTTCAAATAAGAGAAAATGGCTTCATGCCCTCAAAACATATTTTTGCCTAATTTTATCAAACTCCCAGAATTAAAACAAAGACAAAAGCCTGTTCCTTCACTTTTCCTTAACATTTTAAGAATTTTCCCAGTACTTCACTATTATATAGTATTTTTGCCTTAGTTTGAGATGTTCAAATGCATATCTATTCTACAAATAATTAAAAAAAAAACTATTTTAACTTCCTTAAAATGGCTTCTTTAGATATGTCCCTAGACTATATTTGCTATCCATCGGTTCAGGGCTTTAGCCTGGGTGCTTAGATCTGAGATTAGGTGTACATGGGGGAAAGTTTTTCTATCATGTCTGGATATCAATGTTTTTAAACACTTCTGTTTTTATTGTTTGTGTTCATGTATGCCATTGCACACATATGGAAGCCAAATGACAGCTCCGAGGAGCTGATTCTCTCTCCCACCGCATCAAGGTACAGATGTATTAAGTACAGATGTTAAAAAAAAAATGAGGTTGTTCGTGTAACTTTCTGTTCGTTATTGCTTTTGGTAAGGCATCGGAAGAAAGTAAAGTTCAGCTCAGAACTGAGCGCTTTATAAGCAAAAATAAAAGGAAGTGGGAATGTCTAGAAGTCGGAGGTCTGTGAGATTGAAGAGTTACTTTTATGCCTCAAATGTTAATGGAGATAAGAGGATGGTGAAAGTCAGGGTGTTGTCCACCCGAACAGCTTTTGTGTGTCTGCTGGTCTCAAGGTGGCCTTGTAAAGACAAGAGAAGAAGGTATGGATGGAAGGAAGAAACGAACTAAAGCTTAGAGACTAGGCCTAGAATCCGTGTTAGCTCCGGTTATCTGCGCGAGAGATAGACTGGGAGCAACTAGATCCCAAGCTTATGGGGGTTTAAGGAAGCCTAGTTACCACAGAAACCATGAGACTGGCCTGAAAACGTCTGTCTCTGAATTCCTTAAAGCAACGAAGGCTTGAGCCTTCAAAACGGTGCCAGTTGAAAGAGATCTGTGAGTGAAGAGTCCCCAATGAGGGGACGCACTGCCGCGGTGAGTTCCGGTGTGGCTAGGGCTGCTCGTGGGCAAAGTGGATTCAAGGGAAGCAGGCTAACCCTCCTGCCTGACCAAGGCCTTTCTTTTATTGCCAGAACGGCCACGCCATTCTTCCCTCTGGGTTGTGAAGACACCAGTGTAGCAGCGGCTTGTGTTCATCCCCTTCGGTGGCCTTTACGCAGTCGTAAACTCAGAGCCTGGGGCACCTCACTGGAGCTGGGGCAGTGGAGTATTGGCTTGATCAATGCGTTTCTTGACACTGGTCATCAGCAGTCACTTCAGACCTGGATGGAACATGAAGCGGTGCTGGACACTATCCTTCGGCGCCTCTCTCCCTCACTTTAATTTCTCTGTTCAGAAGCCACCTCTCCAGTGGCTACCAAACCACTGCAATAAACCCGCAGTCCTCCACCTTCCTTCAGCCTCTTTGAATCCCGCTGTCTTCACCAAACCCACGGTCCAACCTCTTCGCATCCTGCTCTATTCACTGGACTATAAACTCTCTCAGGGGCAGCCTTGATCTTGTCTCCAGCTGAAATCTTAGTACCTAGAAATGGCTGTTTGTAGACGCCATGATGAATATTTGTTGGGATAAAAGGACTAAATGAAGCACCTATAATTTCTGGAGGTTGAAAGTTAGTGATTTGATTCTCAGTCATTCCTATCACTGTGCCACCAATGGCAGATATTTATTTGTATGTGTGAAAACTGGGATTACTCCTTGTAAGATATCATTATGCGACAGGAAACCTAACCAAAGGTTTGTCCTACAGGGTAAGTGCAGTTACTGCTAAAGGCAGGACATTTGATCTCATTCTTGCTGGTGTGTTTTAAGGCTGAAATGGAGGCTGGGGCAGAGGATTAACCTCAATGGTAGAATACTTGCCTAGTATGCATGAAACCTTGGATTTAATCTCCAACACTGAACAAACAAGAGTGATCTAGAAGATGAAGCAACACGAGAATCCTGTTGCTTTTTTTTTTTTCATTTCAATTGAGAGACCAAATCTTTTCCGTTCCATCTTAGAAAACATGACTTAAGGTTAAACTCAAGTTAACTAGCAGGCTGGTACCTAGTACCAGTTTCCAGGCTATCTCCCAACAAGACCAGTGTCTAACACCAGTTTCCAGGTTACCCTTCCCCCAACAAAACCTGTGGCTAGCACCAGTTTCCAGGTTATTCCCAAAAAATCTGCACCTCCAGGTTACAAGCCTGCCCCCTGACACTTCACTTCCTTACAACAAACTAATCAGGAAGAAAACAGAAGTTAAGTTTATGGGTTAGCTCCCAACACCAGCCAAATATGTTAAACCATAATGCCCCCGAATCAGATGTGTACCAGGCTAGATACCTGCTTTGTGCCTCTATAAATACTTGCCTGAAACTGGGCTCAGGTCCTCCTCCCATTTTTCGTCAGAGACGGAGGAGGTGTGGCCCAAGCTCGAGCTTGAATAAAGAGACTCTAGTGTGATTGCATCAGAATCGGCTCCTTGGTGGTCTTTTGGGGTTCATGAATGTTTTCGGGCACAACACAATCACTGGTGTTCATTAATTTTAACACAATGGCCTGATACACCATGGATATCCTTTATGGTCTCCTCACGCCATGACACAACAGACTGACACACCATCCACTTCCTCAAGGCAGGAGCTAATGTACACCAGGCAGTATCCAGATCCCACCCCCCACGACCTATTTAAGCCTTGTGCCAGTCAGCATGCTGAGCACCCAGGATGTACTGACAGGAAACGTATTACCTTTGGCTTCCTGTTGACTAGAAAGACCTAATGTGGCAAAGAGGCAATTACAACATAATTTACCAAGAGCTGCTCTTGGAGACATGTAATATTATAGAAGTCCATATAATAATATTATAGAAGACAAGCCAAAAAAAAAGTATGTGAGCATGAACCCAGAAGTATAAGTGGAGATTGTTCAAGTGAAGGACTATAGAGGACTTTCTTGAGAAGTGTGGAGACACCATCTTATTTCCTCCTATCACTCTTCTCCCCTCTTCTGAATTTATTCTCTAGCCTGTAGGTTAACTTAAATATCCACTGTACCAATAGAGGTCATTCAGGAATCCAACAGGAGTCAATAAGCAATGCCAGCCACCAAGGAGTGGCCAGTGAGGTCTGGCAACACGCCTACATTACATTGACAAACATTTGACTTTTCTACAGAAAAAATATTTTGACTCTTAGATTTGTTTTGGGGGTGGGGGGCTTTGTTAGAAGCATCTGAAATGGATGACACCAAGCTGTTTGCCTAAAACTGTGTCCCAAGCCTGAACTGGCAGGGAAAATTTTCTGAGATTAAAATAGAAACTTGTTTTGCTAACAGAAGCAACTTGGAAATCAAAGAACCATTATTTTTCCCTTTCTTGCAGAAAATTCCTGTTTTTACACATACTGATAACTCAGGATAGTGTAACCAAACTGGCACAGAACTTTTCATTAACAATTTGAAGTAGGAGAGAGAGACCTCAAAACGATGAGAACGGAGTGACATTTGAATGTAGGACCTACTATGTGCCGGACAATGGTGTAGGCACTAAACAAAGATAGACCTTCTTAGAGACTTTACATTTCAGCAGAAAGAAGACATAGATAAACAAATTATGCTGTAACAGAGACCAGCACAGTGGGGGAAAGGCAAAGTATAGTGGGACGTGACACCAGAGGGGAAGATGAGAGTTTTAAATAGTATTCATATTTGGCTTTTCGGGTGATTTTTGAGCAAGAAAGTAAGATTTAGCAGTACAGTCAATGTCTGTACTGAATGGTCATGCCTAGAGGGTGCCAGGCCAGGAGACCACGGAAAGAGGGGACAGGACAGCCAACCACTGGAGGTATGGTTTAAGGCCAGGAATGATTTAAGTTCGAACGTATATTTTATGAAAATCATGCTTTTTCAGTCCTTCGGTATAATGCTTCTCACTCTGCAACAATAGCACAGTTACTACTTCAAATGGTTCCAAAAAGGTCTCCTCAAGAACCAGCTATGCCACAAGCTGTCTAAGTGGTAACTAACTTTCCTTCTTCTGGGGCGGGGCACCTGCCCTACCCATGGGGTGCGCGGAGTGGAGCTGCGGGAGACAGAGTTTCCACGTTTCTTCTTCAAAATGCGATCTGAGAGCCGAACCCTTTTTTCAGTTAAAAGGCGCAGGGCTATTCCAGCTCTGTGGGAGGAAAGGTTGGGTTCTCTCCTGTACCCCGCCTGTGTGTGTGTGTGTATGTGGGGGGCACCTGTCTACCCGACAGAATGCGTACATCCACCTCCACCCCCACTGTCGCCCCAGCCTCAGGCGGTTAGGCTCACCCTTTCAGGCAGGTCACCCGGCACGCCCTCTTCCTAGCTCAGCTTAGCAACTTTTCTCGCAGCCCGGGGCAAGCGCCACCCGTGGCAGAAGCTGCCTGCGCGCCGCATCCCCGCCCCTGAGCCGCCCCTGCCCCGGGGGCCTCGGGAGGGGCGAGCCCCGGCGCGCGCCCAGGGCACCAGGGCGGCGGGGCAGGGAGGGCGGCGGGCTGAGCGGCGCGTCCCTCCCGCCTCGCTCCTCCCCGCGGGCGGCGCGGCTCCCGCCGCAGCGCCTCCCCTCGCCAGGAGGGAGCCGGAGGGGCTCTGCCAGCCCGCCGCAGACCTGCCCGGCTGCGCGCCGCGCCCTGTGCGTCCCAGTAGCCGCGGGTGCCCCGCCGAAGGTGGCCGGGAGATCCCGGGACGCGCAGCTTCCCGCAACCCCCCAGCGCCCCCGCGTCCTGGTCCGCCGGCATGGCTGTGCTCCTAGCGGCGGTGCTCGCGTCCTCGCTCTACCTGCAGGTGGCCGCCGACTTCGACGGGAGGTGAGGCGGGTCCCGGGCGCCCTCCCCTTCCCGTAGGGACCTCGAGTCGCGCAGTCCGGCTCGGGGCTGGGGAGAGAGAGGCTCGTGCCCCGTGTGCCGTGAGCGCGGGCAGGCGCCGGGACACAGGTGATGCGTGGAGCGTCCCTGTAGCTCGCGGCCAGTGAGCAGGGTGGACTGTGTCCGGAGGGGAAACTTGCAGGTGACCGGGCGGTTCGACAAAGGGTGGCGGCGAAGACCGGACTTGGAACAAATGGCACCGGAGGGCTCCCGGTTTGCCGTTTGTTTTCTGAGGGCCGGGGGCGGGGGGGTCCACAAGCTCAACAGGAGTACTGAGAGGAGGCGCTCGGGTGTGTGTGTGTGTGTGTGTGTGTGCGTGTGTGTGTGTGTGTGTGTGTGTGTGTGTGTGCGTGTACCACACGGCACCGCTCAGACCTGGCGGGCCTGACTATTGCGTGCTCTGACAGGTCCCAACAACCTCCGTCAGGGTCTCCGTTGTCACTCAGCTTGTCCCCGTCCCCCCCCACTCCCCAAGGCAGCGCGCCACGCGATCTTCCCGGAGATCCCGGGCTCTGCATGAGGGTCCTTCCCTTCAGTCTCCACCGAAGGCCTCAGCTGGGATAGGTTTCCCGCTGGCTCACACCACCACCCACCCCTGTCCCCATCCCTCAGAGCTTGTCCCAGTGCTGCCTTGAAGATGCCGCACCTGTTTTACCTGCAATCTTGGAACGAATCAATTCCAGGATTGATTGGCTTTCTGTCCCTGGAGGGGACCAGGGGAAAAGCCACGGAGCGCGGAAGAAAAAAGCACCGCTCCCGGTTCACCACCTGGTCGGAGGAAATAGAAGTTGGGGTTGTTTTGTACTTCGGGCCTGAGGGTAAAGCGAAGATGAATTGAAAAGATAAAGAGTTTAAAGAAAAGTGGAAAGCAGCCAGAGGCTAAGTCTTTTATTTTCCAAAAGCAATTCTTTGCCCACATTTGGATATGTGGTGCTTTACTTTGGGGCACACACACTTACAAAGAAGCACACAACACACTTGTAATGTATGATAGCTTTTAAAAGGCGTCCAAAACAGCCCGATTTAGGTGTCCAGAAAATCTGGTAGGTGTGAATCTAAGCAGGATAACAGTCACAGGTGTTAAGTGTGATCTGATGCATAAATCTGCATCTTAAACTTGCGGTCTCTTTGGGTATACTTTACATTAGAGAGGGAAAGAATGTGAATTGCTGACGCAGACAGCTTGTAAAACGTAAGGACACTTGAGACACTCTCCACGGTCTGTTTTTCAGCTTCTCTTAAGGCAGTGGTGGGTGGGAGGAGGCAGTTGTGTAGAAAGAGCTTGGTTGCATTTGATTTTTGAATAACCTCCTCTTCTTGCCCACTTCCTTATCTGCCCTTTATAGGAAGCACACATTTCTTTCTGCTTTGACAGATCTGTTATTCAGCAGGTTTCAGCGTATGGGTGTATTAGTTAAAACTGCCCCCCAACCCCGCCCCGCTCCCAACAGCTGTGAGTCTGGCTAATCTGTTTTACTCCAAGCTTTCAGAAACCATTCCATGAAAGCCTGAGCGTTCTTGCTTGCAACTGACGCTGTTTCTTCTCCCTACTCCTGTGGGCTGGGTGTGTGTACATTTAACTTTACAATTAGAAATTAGATCATTGTAGAACTATTACTGAGAAGGTGTTTTATCCTCAAATTCCTGCAGGCGGTAAGGAGTTTGTAGAAAATTACTTGATGTGGTGTAAGTTTTTTTTTTATTCTAAATAAAACAAAGAGGAAATTATTTTAAATCTCAAGGGTCTTTATTTATTTGAAATACTGTGTTTGTTTGGTAGGTGGCCCAGGCAAATAGTATCTTCAATTGGCCTATGTCGTTATGGAGGCAGGATTGACTGCTGCTGGGGCTGGGCTCGCCAGTCCTGGGGACAGTGTCAACGTGAGTATTGGGGCTGGAGGCCCCTGTTCCCTGGGGGTGGAGGGGGTGGGGGTATATCTTTTAGCCGTGGTTCTAGACTTTACTCTGAACGTTGGAGGGCTTGCCATTACTGAATAACCCTTAGCCGTGCAGATGTGACCCAAATCTTTACCCTGCCCCTTTCCAACCAGAGGCACCTGTGTCACAGTGCCAGCTTTGCCATTTACAGAGAGCCACTTACTGTGTTGTCCACTGTATTTTATTAGTTTATGTGTATGGGTATTTTGATTGCATGTATGTGTACCACTTGAGTACCTGGTGCTGGAAGGTAGCCTGAAACTGTTACAGATGGTTGTGAGCCAACATGTTGGTGCTAGGAATTGAACCCAGGTCCTCTCGAAGAACACCAGTGCTCTTAACCACCGAGCCATCTCTCCAGCCTCGGTCTCCACACTTAAACTTTTGTTTTCAGTTCCTTCCTTTGCTCCGAGCTCTGAGATGACGGTGAGATAGTGAGTCTAGACAATATTTACACTAAATAAACTGGGAACTTAAGAATCCCTGTAAAACCTCCACCAGCGCTGTTGTGTAAGGTGCTATTTGCCATCTTCAAGCCTCTTCTTTTTCTTCTTTACTTTCGTGCTTTCTTTTTTAAAGATTTATGTCTATTTGTGCTCTATCAACATTTACACTTTTGTGCCAGAAGAGGGCATTAGATCCCATTACAGATGGTTGTGAGACACGATGCGGTTGCTGGGAACTGAACTCAGGACCTCTGGAAGAGCATCCAGTGCTCTTAACCGCTGAGTCATCGCTTCGGTCCCTTCCAGTCTTTTCTTATGAAGAGAAGTTATACTGACATCTACATGGGCCAACCTACAGTGTCATAGGAAACATCTGGAAAACATCATTTATAAATTCCATAATTGTTCAAAATCATATACAGTAGGTGTCAAATCAGAACACTGAGTTCTATTTTATTCATGATCAAAATAGATAATTTAATGATACAATTCCTAGTCACAAACAAAAATTTGAGTGATTTAACACATTTCTCAGATTGTATTTAGATCTGGATCTCAAAAATTTATCCTAGTCTTCCTGTTTTCCCCTCTCCCTCCAAAAAGAGACACATCCCACCCCAAATGATCAAGTAACTTTCTGAGGCATCTGTTGAGATGGTGGGGACTGAGGTGGGCTCCACAATGGGACTTCCGCCTTGTCAGTCATGAAGTGTCATAGAGAAGGAGGATTGTAAAGGCCAGAGAGCAATGGAGGGGCCTGGCCCATTGATGGAGTGGCTGACTGAGGAATCGAAAAGATGAAGAGTTCCCTCAGCTGTTACCAATAATCTGCTGATGTTTAACGTGTTCGAGGAAAGAGAGTGATTACCACAGGTTGGTTAGTGAACACTCAGGCTGCTGTCGTTGGTTGAGGACAGGCAGGGAAGGGAACTAGTGATTAGCTCCTTACTACTTGTGAACACTGGCCCTTGCTCATTCGGACCTTTGCCTCCTGCTTACGAGAGAGATGGAGTTTCTAGTTTCTAGCACACGGAAGGACCAGGCAATGTTGTTGGCTTTTATTGGTTAGTCAGTTCAGCTTTGTTTCCAAGGGAAAATGGTCCAAAACAGGGTTGGCACCTAGTAGAAAGTCCCCTTCTGCCAAACACATGACAGCGTTAGAAATACTGGCAGTCAGGGGTTACCAGATATAAAGGTTGGTGAGCCACCAGGCAAGTTACAAGAAAGTAAAGAGATGATGGACCTTCTCTCTCGGCCCAATGGGGAAACAATCCATCCCAGATGAAAACATGGCCAGCCTCTTTGCAGGAAGGAGCTCGTCTTTTCTGCTGTAACTTTTAGGAAACGGGCAAATTGAACTCTGAAGAGCCTCGAGGTCCACGCAGGCCCAGCCCTACTCAGGTCAAGGAGGCATGCCCTGGCAGAATGCCCTGTGCAGCAGTGGGCCACGCCTTCACACCTGCCCTGGAGGCAGAGATTAGGAGAATGTAGGTTCAATGCCAGGTATGTCGAAATAATTCTAGGGTAAAAACCCCTGGGCTCCTGAGAGGTCCTACTTCGGAATTCCCCAAGCAACACTAGAAGCTATTCTATTTTTCTGTAATTAAAATTTCTCAAGTATGCACTGGCTCAGCAAATCTACATCTGAACAAGTTTGGAGGCCCTTTAAAGTTACAGTGTATAATGAAATGTAATTATCCAAGAGATTTCCCAGACTTTTCTGTATCCCATGTCTTTCCTAACAGACTGGGGACACTGTCAGCTTCAAACCTTCATTTTGTTGCTACAAGAATGCAAAGTAGTGACATCAGTATTTCCTTTCCCTTCTTTGTTGTTCCCGAGGATGTGAGGAAAGCATAACAGAGAAACCGAAGATGGAAATGGTCACATTCCCAGTGTGTGTTAGACTGTCTTGCACACGTCACAGTTCACCTGAGGTGTGGTGAAGTTGGGGAGCTGCATATCTGAGGGGGAACATAGACTTTAAATTCCACCTTGGCCTTCTTGACTGTGTGACTTTGGCTGAGCAATTCATCCAGTTCCTATGCTTCATTTTCTCTTATCTCTAAAATCATTCTGAAGCAACATGAACCTTAACAACACAGAACCCTAAAAATGAGTTATTTTTAAAGCACAGAGAACCACTATTCCTGGCCTGAGCAAATGCTACAGTTGTACTTGGTCATGTTCAATTATGACTACAGCACTGGAGGGCACAGGAAGGGCATATCTCTCTCTCTCTCTCTCTCTCTCTCTCTCTCTCTCTCTCTCTCTCT